AGATGAATCACTCCTCTCTGTGCTGCCAGAGTAGACTTTTTCTATTTTTCTGTCTCTAATGCCTAAAACAGTGCCCAACCCCAGCTAAGAACTTAGCAAATGAATCAATCAATGACTTTATGTGAGGGGTCAGAAGGAAGCAGAGTGGCCTAGCAAAAAGAGACTTGAAGGCAAAGAGTCTTGGTGTAGGACCTACTGCCACTGCTTACCAGCTATGTTACCTCAGGCAAACCACTCAAACAACCTGAGGTTCAGGTCTCCTCGTGTAAAAGTATAGTCATAGTAGCCACCTGAACCAATAACTGTGAGGGATGAAGAAGATTTTATATATATATATATATATTTGCAAACCGAATCCAGCAATACATTAAAAAGATCATATACCATGATCAAGTGTGATTTATTCCTGAAATGCAAGGTTGGCATAATATCTGCAAATCAATTAATATACACCACATAAACAAAATGAATGATACGCCCATATCAATAGATAACATAAAAAGCTTTTGACAAAATCCAGCACGATGGTTTAGTGGAGGAGACAACAACATTTACTGCAGCAAGTTGTTAAATAGAGAAAATGCAGGGCTCTCTCTGACGCAGACTTGGAGGACAAAGAAATGGGATATAGTCTGTGGTTGAAACCAGGAGACGGAAGCAGAGGGAGAAAAGTGATGAGCCTAGGCAAAGGACAAAATCCCGGGAAACAGGAACATTCATTGGGGTGCTTAAGAGTAAGGGGATAAGCAGGTGAGAAAAAGTAGGCGATACTGGAGATGAGGAAGGGGCAGGAGGGAAAGGGGGGCCAGGAGGAAGGAGAGAAAAGAAGTTGCCTTATGCCACTGACCAAGGATTATAGGAGCGAGAAGCTAGGAAGTAAGTGGCTAACCATGTTCAAGTTGTTTTGGAGCTGAAACAGCCTAAGCTGTGTTAGGTAGTGTCTGGCTTGGCATGAACAGTGCCACGAACTCCCAGAAGCTCTACTTGGGGGTGCTGGAGGCTGCTCTGGGCAAAGGCTGCCTCCACGAATGCCCAGGAGGGATATTCCTTCTTCAAGTCCCTAAGGGGCACTGCATTCAGCTGTGCTGGCTGCTTTGTTTTCTCACCTGCAACCCTCGGTTTCCTTGAAGCTGGTTGGTTTATACTAATTCGCCCTTATTCCTTGCTTCTTATAGAATGTCACAGAGTCACCCCATTTGGGGCCCAATGTTTCATGGAGCTACCCCCAGCCAGAGCCTATCATCCATGTAGCCAGATGCTTATATATATATATATATAAGTCAATGAAACCGTGCTCTTGTGGCATTGATGGCCTGCCTGTCTGAAAGGCTTCTTTGCTCAGAGCAGACTCACCTTCACACTGGGTCCTATCCAGGCTGATGTTACAGGTGCCTGCCCTTCCTGAGCAGCTGTGGCAGAGAACGGGAGGGCATCCCAGAACCTGCGGGGGCACAGGCGATGTCACAGTTGGGTTAGACACTCGTCATGAAGATGTAAGGAAAAGATATTCAATCCTGGATAACCAAAACGTACCTTTTGTAAAAACAAGAAGTTGAGCCCTGGCTGCTTTGGCTCAGTGGATAGAGCGTCCGCCTGTGGACTGAAGGGACCCAGGTTCAATTCTAGTCAAGGGCAAATCCCTGGGTTGTGGGCTCGATCCCCAGTAGGGGGCGTGCAAGAGGCAGCCGACAGCTGATCAATGATTCTCTCCCATTAGTGATGTTTCTCTCTCCCGCTCCCTCCTTTCTCTCTGAAATCAATAAAAATATATTTTAAAAACAAATCAAAACCCCCCCCCCAAAAAACCCAAGAAGTTGACTCTCAATAATGAGGTCATGGTGGGGATGTGGGAGAGAACCAGTGTCTGGGGAGATACATTTATGGAGGTGCAAGAATTTCTTTGCAGCCAGGTAGCTTCTTGTAGTAGTGTGCACACTCTGCTACCCGTGCCCTCTGTCTTCTATCGCATTAATGGTTCTTTATAAATACTGATGCCCTAGATAGCCTCATGAATATTTGCCTATGTCATCATTCTTCAACCAGGGTTTTGGAGTGAGTCATCACTTTGGTTGGTACAGTTCGGGATTTCATGTGCAAGATTCCTTAGTGAGAAGCAATCAGATGGGCTCCCCTCCAACCAGTATGCCGAAATTCTTTTTTTTTCTTTTGTTAATATATTTTTATTTCAGAGAGGAAGGAAGGGGGTGAGAGAAATAGAAACATCAATGATGAGAATCATTGTTTGGCTGCCTCCTGCATGCCCTACCGGGGATTGAGCCTGCAACCTGGGCATGTGCTCTTGACCGGAATCAAACCCAGGACCCTTCACTCTGTGACGCTCTAGCCACTGAGCAAACCAGCTAGGGCCGGTATGCTGAAATTCTTAAAGCATCAATACTTGTTTGGGGCATCTTAATATTATTATATTTTCTCATTTTGTTTGATTCCTCTTTACATCTCAAACTAAGAAATCTTTCCTACCCTGCCTTTTAAGGTGACTGAGTTACAAAGCTTGAATGCTCAGAGATTCCTGGGCTGCTAAGGCAGAAACTGTTCATGCTCTGCAGCAGAAAAAAGGGAAAAAGGCGTGTCCATGCACTTGTCTCAGTCCCGGGCCTGTGAGTGGGCAGACTGACAAAGCCCCACATGCCCTGTCTCCACTTCCCTGGGTTCTGGACCCCATGCCAGGGCTGACATCCTGAAACTGAAGCTGCGTGTTCTTTCTTTCTGAAACAGCGGCTAAGTCAGGCGTTCACAATCAGTGATCCTACCCGGCTGCTGCCCCACATCCTGTTTGCCTACATACAAACAAGCCTTCTTTGATGAGCAAACGCTCTTTGCTACTTCATGTTCTTGCCATTGAAATGAATGATGGTAACACAGGATGTTAGTCTTGTGCGGCAGTCCTCTCTCTAGTTAGCTGGGTCTCTCTATCAAATTTAAACGTTAGGAAGTCACAGAGAAATGTAAATAGCAACTAAATTGGAAAAATAGATCAGAGAGATACAGACTTTGGAGCTGAGCAGAGCTGAAATTCCTGTTTTCAAAGAAGACAAAGGTGAAATGATAAGCCCCAAATCATAGAGCTGCATTTCATGGCAAAGTGGAAACTAGGACATAAATAAATAAATAAATAAATAAATAAATAAATAAATAAAATAGCTCAATATTACTTTTAATGTAATTATTATAAAAACAACATATGCATGTGATTTTTTAATAAATTCAAATAGACTTAAGGGTGTAAAATAAAAATAAATATATTCTACTCAAAAAAAAATGGAAACTAGGACTTTTGATTTCAAATCCAGTCCTCTTGCCACAACATTCACCAACGAATAGTGAGAGACTTGGGGAGTCTGTTGAAAACATCACCAGAGGTCCCAGGGTCAGTTCTTTCATTCTTCAAGTTCATATATAATCTAACTCTAACCATCCAATTCATCTATATGTCTCTATATGTCTCTTTGATAAAGGTTTGGCTAGAAAAAAAAAACACATAATTTTTAGGAGTGTGTTGGATGACTTAACAAAATGTACAAATTTCCACAATGCAAAACATAAATAATGCAATACGAGCCACACTTTTGTGGCCCGGATGTGTTGTCCTTATTTCTGTTAATGTTTGGTGAGAATGCACAGTTCAGGAGAGCAGGGATGATACTGTTCTTTTCCACGGCTTCCTCAGTGTCAACCAGAGTGACTAGAATAGAGTTAGCACTCAGGACATATTTGTTGAGTATAAGACTGTGATGGAATATTGTTAAAAATTTAGAAATGAATGTCATATGACACAAAAGATGGATATTCTTGGGATGATCTGATTGTCAGACTTTTTTAAATCTTCAAATGCCTTTATATCACATTGCTGACCTAAAAAACTTATTTACTCCTATTATTATTGTTTAAATTACATCATAAATTCCATAAGGTTAAGAACTATTTCTGTGTCCCCATGACTGAGCCCAAGGCTTGGCACACGCTAGGCACTCCACAAATAACGGCTGCAGTGTTTCTTTTTTACAATGCAATAAGAGCATTTGCCAAGTCGCCATTTTGTGATTGTCAACAAGATTTGCAGCTCTTGCCTCAGAACACTGGCTGGTTTCAAGGCTCCGTAGCCAGCTTTAACTCTTCGATGGCAAAGACATATGACAAGCCGCTTAACTTGGGGCCAGATGAGCTCTTCACATTTATAAATACAACAGTAATCTAAGTGCCAATGAGCACATCAGCCAGCTTGACTATGGGACTGAAGAAATAAGAGTTCCATGAACTCTCAAAGAATCAGTAAACCTCCCTCTCACTAAGAGAAAAAACTAACTTTGGCAGCTCTCTCACCAACTCTACTTTCTCATCTAAGGGGAAAATGTTTTCCAAAGTATTTGCTCTGTTGAGAGCTTACAGATGGCAATGACTTAAAAGCCTTTTTAATACTGGTAGCACAGTGCATGATCCTAACCGAATCCCACATGGCATCAGTTGACTAGACTTGAAAGCTGGGAAGCTCCCAGAAGTAAGTGCCAAATGCCTGTCAATTACATTCTGAAACAGTACGCAAAGATGTGGGTGGAAAAGGTGCCTAGATACAGGGATGACATGGAGAAAAGTACCTCCATAGGAAGGAACAAGGATTGTGTGGTTGACATGAAATAGACCAGTATAAACAAAACACTTTCTGAACAAGAGATAAGATGAGGTATATGCATTGGGTTCATGACTTCCTACCAAAGGCCTTGAATTCCATGGGAGTGAGTTAGCTATTGCTGTCTCACAAACCACCATAAAACTCAGTGCTCAAACCAATAAGCATTATTATTGCCCTCCATTGTAATCTTGCTGAGGAGTTCTTTTGGTCTTGGCTGGGCTCACGCATACCTCTGCAGTGTCCTGTGGCTTGGGTAGGCAGCTCTGGTCATGGGATCCTTCTCACATGTGTGGTCATTGCCTCCCTGTATGGTTATACAGGAGTTAGCACTCTAGGCCTGATGCTGCTCTTTAGAAGGATCTGCTGGCAGCGCTGGCCCTGGGCTCACATCCGGGAACTTGGGCTTTGTAATGCTATGTTCTTAACTGTACTCGTTTTCTATTGCAGATGTGATCAATTACCACACATTTAGTGGCATAAAAGAACACGTATTTATTGTGTTCCAGTGCTGGAGACCAGAAGTCTAAAATGGGTCAGCAAGTCTGTATTCCTTCTGGGCTCTAGAGAATAATCCATTTCCTTGCCTTTCCAAACTTCTAAAGGCCATCTGCATTCCTTGGCCCCTTCCTCCATCTTCAAAACCAGCAGCATAGCATAGCAACTTCAAACCCATACTTCTCCTCCCCCTCCCGCCTGCTATTGCCATCATCTGTCTTTAACTCTGATCCCAGATAATTCAGGAAAATCTTCCCATTTCAAGATCTTCAACTTAATCACATCTGCACTGTCCCCTTTGCCGTGCATGGTATCACAATAACAGGTTCTGGGCATTAGGACATAGACATATGCAGGTGATGAGGGAGAACAACATGGATTCACAAGCAGGAAATCCTAGAGATGAAGCGAAGTTAGAAAGCTATAGTCAATTATTCAAAATGCAATAACCAGCTAGAAAACTAAGTAATCTAGTTGAGACTATTTAAAAGCTATGTTAATCAAGACCTGTTTGGGTAAAGCTTGTGGTATTTATACTTATTCACTCAATATTTCTTTTCTATCCTTAATTTAAATTTTTATTGTTGAAAGTATTACATATGTCCCTCTTCTTCCCCACTGATCCCTTCTTTTCTTGAGTGTGTACTGCATGCTGGGACTACAACAGTAAATGAAACAGATGTGTTTCTGTCTCGATGGAGCTTACCTTCTAGTTGGGTGTTTCGAAAAAGGACACATTTAAGCTGAGCCACAGAGACTTGTTGGTAGAAAGAGGTAGTTCTACAGAAGAGAGGGAGTTTCAAGAAGAAATGGCGTGCACAGAGCTCTCGGACTGGGGAGAATGTGGTTCTCTGTAAGTGCAGTCAAAGACCAGTGTGACTGAAATGTGGAGAATGAGAGGAAGCTTGTACGTAATGTGGCAAAGAAGGTACACAGATGCCAGTCCATGCAGCATTCCATGAGTCTCAATTTCATTCTAAGCATAACTGTAAGTCACTTGGTTTCAAAATAACTCTAGTGTTGAGGAGCAAGAGTGCAAGTGGGAAAATTAGAGACTTGCTACTGCTCAGTGTGGTTCAAAGACCAACAGCATCAGATAGACCAGAGCTTTTTGGAAATGCAGACTATGGCCCCCTCCCCAAATCTAGAATCAGAATCTGCATTCTAAAAAAATCCTCAAGTGATTCATTTGTACATTAAAGTTTGAGAATCACTGAATTGGAAAACCGTGGTAGCTTGATCTACATAGTGGCTGAGGAGATGGAAGAGAGAATGTCTTAGTCATAGGCAGTCAGAATTTGTGTTGGGATTAAAAGCTGTTATAAAAGGACCATTGTATTAAAAACAACATAGAAAAGCTGCCAAGTTCTTTGGCGTGTGGCTGGTTGGTATGAAATCCTTGCTAGATGCTGATGCTCAAACTGTTGATGTACTAACTGCCCACTTTGACAACTGTCAGAGAAACATGGTGGGGTAAGGTGGTGCTTTTAAGAAATCGTTCATAGACTTCTGTAACATGCAAGAGAAGTTAAAGTCATTTTAACATAAAAAACAAACCTGGTATAAAGAAGACAATGTTCAAGACACACAGAGATGTCAGTTAGATTAGGTGTGGTACGCTAGTCTGTGATGTCAGAGATGTTTTTCAGGCAGAAGTCCAGTACCCTGGAGAGCTCCCACAAAACAATGGTTTTCTGAAGATGAAAGTCTAGGATCTATGGAGAGATGCCTTTTAGACTCA